TCTGGTGAGTTCTACCACAACATTCCTTCGTCCCCGAGCCCAGCTAGTGGCATCGCCAATCGGTGTGGCCTACTATCGCGATCGATTGAACGTACTAAAATTAACCTCGACTGGCCCCCCGCCCTGGGTGGCTACCGTCAACCGTCGCTGAACCGCAATCAAGGGGACCATTTTCTCAATTTTAGGTGGTAGAGAGTGGCATGGGACTCGTGCCTCTATTTTGAGGTGCCATACGGGCGTGTAGACATGGTAACCCTTGATTTGAGCAAACTTACAGGAGATGATTTAGGTTAATCACTGACCTCTAGTAATAATTGGGATATGTTTGTGAGGCAGTCATTCTCACAAGAGTTTTAGCTTAGTTTGCAAATGGAGTGTTACTAGGGCTGAACGATTAATCGATTTTAAATCGAAATCGTGATTTGAAATGATGCAATTGTCAAATCAAATTTTCTTTTTTTGTTCTTGTGTGTCAGTCATCCACACCAATCAGAAGTGCTGTGCTCCACATTCTACCAGCCATTGTTAACCAATCAGAAGTGGCCCATGGTAGAAGGTGATAGACAGATTGATCCAATCACCTGCCAAATATTTTTGAAAGTGCCGGCCCTTTTCCAAATGGCTTCCAATGGAGCTTTCTAGATGGTTTGGTGAAACCATCTGAGTCAGGTTAGTAATGCTCCATCACATGTTTCTATTACAGGGTGAGTCTTAAACTGAAGCTCGACTTTAAAGCAACCCAACGGAAGTTGAGCAACAACGGAGCACGTTGAAACGACCTCCGGAGATATGGCCGCATTGTACAATAAACTTCCGTTGGGTCGCTTAAAAATAAATATCGCAAATTGAATCGCAATATTTGTCAGAAAAATCGCAATTCGATTTTTTCCCAAAATCGTGCAGCCCTAGTGTGAGTGTGCATTTTAATATTGTATTTCATTTATAAGTACAATTTAAATGTGGGTAATTAATTGTTGGTAAAAAAAACATTAAGAAAATGTATTGCCTACAATGCAGCCTTAATAAGATGCTTTTATCCAGACTCTCTTATCATAATATCTACAATAGATGTCCTCTCTAAAATGCAATCCAACTCAAGAACACCGAACTTCAAGATACACATTTAAAAAAACCATCTCTGTGACATGTTACCCTTTATGATGTTAGGATTCATTAAAAGGTGGGAGATTGCATTAGCAAGATCTGCAAATAAATTGAGTGTAACGTGCACAAGATGAAGTGCACAAAGTAGATCTTTTTTTAATCCAAATATTTTTTTTTATATTCCCAGTAATGTCGTCTTTTTATCTATTTGAGTGTAGATACACAGTATTAAACTGTTCTATTTAGCAGATTAGCGAAGGACCTTCTTAATTTTAATCAATTCAAGAACCACTGCAATTAATACCAAAATGATATTATTAGCTACGTATAGTGCAGCTACAGTCGATGTCAAAAGGGCTTGAAGTGTTTAACTGCTCTACTAGTGAGAGAACAAAAGGTTATTTTGTGTATTTTTGGAAGGTTTTATTTATAATATAAATGTTAACTAGGACACGAATGAAGCAGGGAACATTAATGTTATGTTCTCATTTTTCTTTTCATCAAGTGGAGGTTAACTTTCAGGCCATTAGGTTGTTAGAGCAGAAGAATGCACCATCACTGATTATTAACTAAGACACAATTAGATTTAAAACATTGGTAGAAAATGTTACAAAAAAGTCTGACATAATTTTGGCTTCCCTGTCAGTTTGTGGTGTGATCTGTGCTCTCTGCCTAACTTTGAACACCAGAATAAAAGCAGCTTGAAACCCTGAGTGACAGGGAGCACTCTGACTGTAGCCTCAGATCTCATCTCACTTGTGAAAGCGTTCCTAAATTTAGGTTCTAGCGGCCAACCTGTAATCAATTTGAAATGGCACATCCAACCCTCTGACCAACACCCGAATGGTAAACGATTCTTGGCACTGGTTGCCTTCACTGCAAACATTTCACTTCCTTTGCCAACTTGTTGTGTCACTTTGCACCAGCATGGCAAAAGAAAATGACAGCATCAATAGCAACAGTGAATTCATTTTCACAAATGAATGCTCGACGGTGCAACCGTACTTATCGAGTAATATTTGTACACTCCTGTAGTAGTTTTAATTGAATTAAGCATGACTGTACATTTCTGACCATGCAGAGAATCTTGTTAATTGTCCCTCCTGTGAAGAAACAGCGCTTCATCCTTTATACTCTATCAATGCTGCCAATGAATAGGGGTATTCATGGTATGTAGGAGTAGAAATATGAAAGAAATGCATACATGTCAGAGCCTTTAGTTCACGCAACAAAAGAGTGGAGGTGTTTTCACACAAGAAGCCTTATTATAGAAACACACACTGCGCCTACTGCTGCAAAGAGACATCATTAAATACTGAACTCACATCATTTAGATGCAGTATTATCCACTCTAATGAAGAAGGAATTGAATATTCATAAATTACAATAAGCATTCTCTTTTATTACTGCACATTGTAATTATATGGAATTAAAAAAGTAAATAATTCAAGATATATTTAGCATCCTTTGGCACACATATTTGTGGTTATCAAATCAAATCAAGTTTTATTTATATAGCACATTTTTAAACAATTTTTAGTTGAGCCAAAGTGCTGTACATATAATAAAAATACCCTACAGTAAAGACACTTTACAGCAGTTATGGTTATATTATAAAATATAAGCTTTCCTTGTTTTGTTTATAGATCTATGGCCATTTACCATATGATATATTGAGTCCCCACTCAAGTTTCATATAAAATCAAACCTGTACGACCACATTGTGAAACGATCAGGTTTCTTATCTGATTTAGTATACCTTTATAAATTAAAAAGGCAAACAAATATACATGTTTACCCATGTTGTGTATAGAAATGTCAGTACAATGCTCAATACTAGAACTAGCAAATAAATAGCTAAATTAATTCATGTTTAATGGGTTTTCAATATCCATCTCCCATTCAAAATAAACTATTAATTGAATAATTCAAGATTTGTGAACAGACACACATTGGCTATCCATAAAAAAATCTTTCTAGAGCATGACATGTTTTGGTTTTACATCTAATTTCATGGAGTATCGGCAAATATTGGCAGAGATTTGCAATTCCGGCAACAGGATGTCAGACAAAGAGGGAAGTTGAGATGCTGCTTGGCAGGAGATTCTCCATTTCTGCTGGATTTATAGACAAATTAGATACGCCGCAGGCCTACTTTTTGCCCCCTATGGAAATGACCCACACAGTGTAATTTAGGAAACATGCAGTGGACGGCATAAACGCTCCTCCTTCTCCCGTAATCCCCCCTGCTGAAGGTTTTCAGTACAGGCTGAGCAAAAAGACTGGACTCTTACGGCGATGTGGTTTCTATTCAAAGCCACTGCGGCTGTGATGTTCATTGTCTAATGGAGGTTCTTCTTTAATCCACACAAGAATATATTTTAGCAGCCAGTTGTATAAGGCTGGCTTTGAATACTTTCATCTCAAGTCAGGTTCAAGAATAGTAACCTTTTCAAAAGATATATATATATATACTACCCTTCACCTGCCTCTCATAAATCTACAAGGCGTAGTTTTAGAATTAAAGAAATAAAAGTATTCAATAGAAGGAACAGATATCACGCCAAGCAGAACCCATCATTGTGTGGGTCTTTATTTCGCAGGAGATACACTCAGCAGGGAGGGAGCTCAGGCTAATAACTATTTCAAGTCCCAATAAAGCCCAAACATCTGATATGACTTAGGAGGCTGATAGAGGCTTGGAGAGGGAGCTCCTACAAAATGTTGGAACCCTTTCATCAGAAACATCCTGCTCGAAAATCCCAACATACTTATAATCAACTTTTGCCTCGTTTTCTTTATTTATGTCTTATTAATGTTTGCAGATGGCACGAATGCCAAATCACTCACTCTGCAGGCAGTGATTTACTGTGTGTAAATGCGGCAAGAGAGCGATTTTCGCTGCTCTGCCAACGCCTTCATCAATCAAACATTTTATTACCTTGATATGATAGTAGGGAAAAATGTGGGAATAGTTTCGTGTTTGGCATTTTTCCACTTCATTTGGCCACTCTGTCTGGACAATTTAGGAAAATAAACGTGCTCCACTTAGTCTATGAAATAGCTCAATTACAACATTTGGACGCAGTTAAACCTGAGCACAACACGTTTGTTTGTTTTCCAGCTTTAAAGAATTCTAAACACTAGATTGCAAGTAAATCCTTTGCATATGGGGAACAACACAGGCCAGGGATTTATAACTTCAATTCACACAAATTCTACCTTGATAACGACATCTGTAAGATCATTTTTCACATTCGCTGGCCATGCATCGATGTCATTAAATTGCTTTTAAATATTGTCAGGGCGCTTTAGAAGCTACCAAGGTGTTTGGCCACATTTAATGGCAATTAAGAAAGAATAACGTCTTATAAGGTGGTTATATTAAAAGGAGTTTAGCAAATGTGCATTTTAAAACCAATATTATGTGCTTCAAAAAACCATTCAATAGCTGCTGTTTGTTGACCTTCAGCACTCTGCCCCCGACAAAACCTCCAGCAACCAATCAAAATGCACCTCTTGTGTCTTGTGACTGTCTATGAAACCATTGTAAACAGTCCTTACACGAGCCACAGGTATTCTTCAACAGGGCACACTTGTCTTAGTGGGAGGTTGCACACACATTATCAGCTCTAATCCTCTTATTTCCTTTCTCCTTTTAAAAATGTGTCTTTCCTCTCGACCTCATCAGAGGAGGTAGTGTTTCTATACATGCCGTCTGGCAGCTGCTGCAAGCTCCCACTTCATTTTGCGGGGGCTCCATGAACCTCAAGGTCCGAAGAAACACAAATAACACATGCTGCCGAATAATATAGAATATATTTTTCCATTCTGTACTAGGCGGAATCACAAAAAAGATCTGGCAGCAAAGAATGCTTTGAAGGTTTTAGTCATACCCAAATGTGCTGGTTTTCCTCTCATGCTCCTCGTCGAGGTTTCTCCCTCGTGCGTCTGGATCGGAGATGCTGGGAGAGGATCTGCTACAAAGAGAATTGCAGATCAACTTCGGCTTGACAGTAGATGAATGCAGCCAAGCACAAAGAGCCTTGCCTTCACCTCAGCATTAAGTTAGAAGAGCATTTCATTTATCGTGCAAAGTGCTGAGGAGAAATTCTGCTTGTGTTTTCTCCACATTATCTCTAAAACAATTATAGTTAGCTGTTTAATAACTGGGGCACATTCTTTTTTCTTGTAATGATCAAGAACAGTTTGGTTGTATACAGTCATGAAAATGAATGTCTTCTGCAGACAGTAAATCAGAGGCACATGGCTGCGGTTTGCAGTACAAAGCAGGCTTTGCCGAATTAGGCGACAGTGAGGGTGCTGCTGTGATTGTCTCTGCCAAGCACGGTGGTTCCAGTGTATTATAAACAGACACCCCCCCTGCGTCTTTCATGCAATGGACAACTGAAAAAAAAGGAGCAAACGCTCAAGTCAGCAATAGCTCGAAGGGCAAAAAAACGGCTCATTAATGTCCAGGATTGAGGGAGGCTATTGCGGGAATTGATCAAGTGAAAGAGACCACCACAAACTAGCAAATAACAGTGCAGTACAACATTTAGAGGAACCGCATGATGCTGGAAACAAGCTTAACATGTCAGTGTGGTTTTCTTCACAAACACATATTTGTGAGTATTTCTAACATTACCTAGACAAAAAAGAAATCTATAATTTTTTTTCTAAATATATATTTTTCCTACACATACAAAATAAACCACGTATGTCTGCTTTATGTCTCATCAAAACGTTCTGAAAATAAATCTACAATTGAAAAACTAATAAATCCTCTTTTCTAAATATCCTGCCATTATTTTTAAATATATATAAAAATGTGGGTTTACGCAGGATATTTTGATGTTTTCTTTAATCATTTCTGGCTAAGCTACAGTAATGGAAAAGTAAATACTGTAATAAGACTGACATCGTTCAATAACTAGATGTATGATTATGATTAGCTCGGTTAAGTTGTAACACTTTCAATTTCTCCGATCAGGTGCGGCTGCATTAACACTGAGCAGATGTTCCGGTTAATTCAAACCCCACATGTGTAAAGTATTTGTGAATGAAACGGGAAACAGACAGAATTCAGAAATTATTAATCACAAGTGTAATATTTACATTTCTCACACTTAAACAGTTTGTGTAGGAGATGGTAGAATTATTGAAGATTGATAATTAGACTAAAATGCGTAAAATAACATAGTTAATTCATATCACACGTTAAGTCACATGTTAAAAATGTGAATGTTATCTGGATAATTAGATATATTTCCAGAAATTTAAATATCGCCCACTTTTTTCAAGCAGTTAACATCAGTATTATATATTTGATAAGCTATCCAGTCATTTATAGTGTAATACAAATTAGCCCAGCCTTTACTTGCTGCAACATTTTATGAATGATAACAGTCATGCATCAATATTTGTCATTCTTTTAACATAATATAGAGATGATCCAGAAAGAGGCCATTCTGCATAATAGTTTCACACTTAAAGCATATTTTGATGTAAATACTTTTACTTAAGTAAATGCAGGACTATTAGTTAACGGAGTATTACTACATTCCATTACTTTAAATTCTAAATAAAACATCTGAGTACCTCTGCCCCCACTAAACAACTTCACTGAAAGAGACCACACACACACACACACACACACACACACACACACACACACACACACACACACACACACACACACACACACACACACACACACACACACACACTATAGTTTATGCAACTGCCAATAAATCTTTCAAATTACAGTGTGTGGGATAGGATGTCACATTTCACTCCCTGTCTTTGAGGGAAAAAAATATATATTTGCCTTGGAGATGTTTTTCGGTGTGTAACAGACAGATGTAAGCCGCTAATAGTAGATTTTAAGGAAAAACTCTAGGAAGAGGACTTAAGTAAGGGAGGAGATGTGGGCGGAAATATGAATCTACCATAAGACATCTGGTAATATAATACAACAGGTAGTACAAACTACAGATTTCCTATCTCTGATAACAACAGCAAACAATAGCTGCATTTCACAGCACAACACCCATCAGCCCTTGTCACATATACAGTACAATGCAGTAAAAGGAGCCTGGTCTGCTGCAAGCTGGAGGTTCTTAATGAAATAGTCGCTGTGTGAGGGAAATCTAGGCCAATTTACCCCACCATGCACTCTGAGGGGTTTCTTGGAAGAACAGGTACAAAACTTAGCAAAGTCCTGCTCCACCTTATTGAAACAGCTTTGGTAAATAAGCATTGTTCTTGTCCTTTTTGAGTATCACTCTGAAGACATGCTGCCATCAATAAAATCAAATTGCCCTCTCTTGCTAAAATCACTCACATAGCTTTTAATCAAATCTGAAAAACTTCAAGATTTTTCCCCTTCAGACGCTTTATGCTTCTTCCTGCCAACGTTTTCCGTTTCCTGTTTTTCTTTTCACGTCAACATGTCATCTTTTTCCTCTGTTAGCCTCTTTGATTGTTATTCGGTTGTCATTATTCTTTTACTGCCCTTTTTTGACTGCTGCAAATCACTAAACTTGCTTGAAACCATTCCCAAAATAAGACGATTATGTGGAATGAATTGTCTTTTTTTTCCTACTCAGCAAATAACACAAAACCCAACCAAGAAGAATAAACTTGGTGCACTGAAGACATTACCAGAAAAATGAAGGGCGTATTTCATAGACATGGATTAAACTAATCCTGGTCTAATACACTGAAAAAGAGAACTTTGTCTTGCTGTCTGTGAAACCAATCCTTACATTTCATTGAATTCAAAATGCATGATATTTTTGCCCTATACTCAGCTGTATTACACAATTTTGGAGATCCATCAGTACAACTGTTTTATTTATAGCAACAAGACGGGTCATATAAGTAAAAGAGTGATTTGAGTAAAATACATTTATGCTAAACAACAACCTCTTATGGCTCTGGAATTTATAGCGCATATTGCTTGAACTTTCAACAAAATTCCATCAAAGAGCCCCGTCTCATTTTTCCCTCTCTCACCCCTTTCATTTGCTTAATATATTAATCTATTCCCTTTTATCTATTTTAGATTATATTAGACCTTCTCTGTATCACTGCAGTGGTGGCCAATACAGTTAAGTGTCGCCACAGTGTGATATCAGGCAGTAGACAGAGAATTAATCGCTAAATCATGATGTTCCTGTCTGATGTCCTTCTACTTTTAAAGGCATTTAACTGACACTTCTAAAGCGAGAGAGATACGAAGAAACCTGCAAACTGTCAGCTGCCTCTCCATCTTTGCTTTTACACTGAAAATATTTCCAGGCAACCCTCAATGGATGTTACAATTGAGTCAATTATTAATGGCTACATGATCTCAAATGCATTTTTGCTCCCTAAACATAGCTGACTGTGTATGTATGTTGCTAATGTTGAGTCTGGCACTGTGTAAAATATTTAGGTGTACGAGTCCTTTACAATCATAAGAGCTCTGCACAGGATGCTGCAGTCAATACAACAGCACGAAAACTATCAATGATGTCCGCTGTGCTGGATATGAAAGATACTTGCATTGAAGCCATTAGACCGAGCCGAGCCAGTGATTCAGAGCTCCTCTGTCCTTGACTGAGTGTTGAGGCTTTGCTGCATGTGAGTGATTGTTTGATGTGAGAACATTGCCCCCTGCTGATTCCCTTCTGTACACTATCAGAGGCCTCCACCAGCCAGGCTGACTGACAGATACATGTGGAATGGGATTTACTCAAATGCTACAAAGCCATCACTCTTAGCTTTGACAACTTTTTTTTTGGTCCGCTCTTCTCTCATGTCACAACTCTCGAACATTTGTCATGTGAGTTTCGTCTGCAGAAAAAAAAAGATGTCTCATGTTCTGGATAAGCTGTTGACATGTGATTAGACTCCAGGCGCCAAAGTGTTCGGTAAATCATATAGAAAAAGAGTTTGAGTAAAATAAATTATTCACTTACATCCTGAATAAATATTCATTGCATAATAAAAAACAACATGGTAATGAATTCAGTGCAGCGGTATTCTCACTGCAGCATTAAAGCTGCTGAAAACTTCAAATCTGGAATATATCTTTTTGACATTAAATATTCATGACCAAATAAGCAACAATCAAGATCCGAGTTTGTAAAGAAAACATTTGGAAACTGAGTTAATAGAGAGGCAAAGTCCCTGCCCTAGTGGACTACTATAGGACATCATTTCTGAAAAACAGTTTAGGGCAGTAAGCGTCATGAAACAAACGTTTTTGGATCCCTTTTTTTTGTTGCCATGAATTACGCAGCTGCATTAGGCAAACCTTTCTCTCTCACTGAAGCTATCCATGCTGTGATGCCTGTGTATTTAGTACTCATACGTGCAACGGTTCTAATTCTTTCTGATAAAATGTATTTGGATACATTAGCTAAATCTAAAAAATGTTGTGTGTGAAACAAAGCTTATTTCCCTAGATAGTGTAAAATTAGATTACTTTTTGTCACGTCATATTATTTACATAATTGAATGAATGGGTTACATATACACTAACCTTTACTTTATGGGAGTTGTTTTTTTTTTTAAATCACAAATCAAATTTTTTATAAACTTAAAATGATTTTTTTTCATTTCTTATAGTAACTGCTATACTGGATGTCAATTTGAATGTAGATCAAGCATTGCTTTAGTAAATCTAGTGAAATAGAATTTGTAATCAAAAAATGTTTTGCGATCCTTCAATAACACAAAAAAGGGTCAACAACGAATAATGAAAGCCGAGCACACCAAAACAAAGCCTGTGCCTCACCGTTACATAACTGTTTGTCTCCTAACAAAGCATCAGTTGGCAGCTGACGTAGAGGAAGTTCACAAGTTCAAGCATGTGTGACTGTTCTAAACACCATGTGGGTCCCATTTCATCTGTCAGCAAACACTTATTTCAAGATGAAATTTGAATGTCTACTAGTTGAGTTATCCCACATAATAATAGTTGAAGGATTCTAAATAAACGATTAAAAAAACACCTGGTGAGATAAATTGATATTCTAACAGCCGCCCTGCTTCCAACTGATGATAATCTGCATTCACACCGTCTGCCTTGTCAGATGAAAGCCTTCAATTAGCAGTCAATTATATTCAGTATTTCCTATGATGCCAACGCTATTTACATTCTGTCAGCACCCAACGCAGCTCCCTGTCAGACAGTTGTGGGAATCACTTCGAGTGAGAATATTAGAACCCTGCCGTGAACAAAGTGTAAAAACAAGTGTTTTGTAGTAATAACAGTAGAGGGTTTCTACTGCCTGCAGATCCATACCTTGTGGCTGTAGAGGCAAGGATCCATACATTGAAGCGTTATCCTTTCCGTCTTAACCCCGGAGACTCCAGCGCAGAGATGAAACACCTCTGATGCTTTGAGTTGCAGCCAAGTGCAGGCGGGGATCTATGCAAGCCCTCAGCATGATGCTTGTCCCCTCACCAGGTGTTCTTAGCGCATACAAGCCAGTGATTGAATTTTGCTCTGCTACCCACCCATGACGCAGCTGGATTCACAGCAAATTAATTCAAAACAATACAGTAGCAGCTTAGCCGTTAAACGCTCTTCAATAAAAGGGCAAGCACATCCTTTCTTACTACTATAATATTAGCGTTGTGTTTGCGTGGTCGGCATCATGCCTTGCTCTGAGCAATTCTTTTCTGAGGATAATAAAGCATCAGCAGTAGGATGTCAATCTCGCGCAACTCAATAACTAAAGTCGTACTGAGAAGCTGAGGAGCATCTCAGTTCCTTTGTGAGTTTGTAAATTGGTCCAGTGTGGAGATTTTCATCCAGTGTCATTATTAATAGTATTGTGGTGAGGTAGTGTGGGGGGCCAGCCACATAAAGGAATATCTTTTCAAAGCCAAAAGCAGGTCAGTGGGAGTCCGTTTTCAATGAGAAAGAGCTAAAGGCCAGACTGCAGAGACCCTGCATCGACTCAGCCCATGTGTCTTGCTGGGTCGGCCCAAAAGCGCTCCAGGTTAGCTGGATCTCTGCCGGACCCCTGCTGGAAAAGGGAAATTGAAAGAAAAAATTAAATACTGTTTCATAGAATTGGTCGCATTTCTAAAAATGATTATGTCAACATAACACACAAACATGATAAAGACCTTGAGGATAACCTGTAGATATATAAATATGCACGCTACAAACATGCAAGTTAATAACGCAACAATTAGTCAAATAGCATTGAATTTACAGGAATTTACACAATTTTCAATAACCGATTCATTGTTTGGTCAATGAAAAACACCAAACGTTTGCTGTTAGGATTTAAGTTTTTTTCAAGGATTTCAATTGTAAGATTAACATTTTTAGTTTTGGACAAACAAGCAATATGAAGAATATAAATATCCAGATCAATACATACAAAATAATCAGGGTTTTTTGCACTCTTATGAATGGCTCTGATTACGGCTGGCATTGTGATCATTATAATTAAATCATCAAATCACTGCATTTTATCATTATTTTCTTTGCTCAGAATCATCAATGTAAGCAAGAAGAAATCCTGAATATCCTATCATCACAATATTGTTCAGCTAACAGTAGGTAAACTAATACACCTCAAAAAACAAATACCTTAAATACATAAAAAATGAAAATGAATAAAACAATGAAGATGATTTCACTGGACCTTGAAATTAGCCCCATGATTAAACCCTAACACCAAAATAACCTTCCCTTGGCCATTATGGGTACATAATAAACAATAATGAAACCTCTAAAGTGCACTTCCAGCGGAAAAACAAGATGCAGTGCCATCTACAGGGGCGTTCAAATGGATTAACCATGATGCAGTGCCACAAAAAGAAATCTAGTGACAATGTTGTGTGTTCCCCCATCTGGAGCCATCTGCACCTAGCAGGTTGTGCTGACTCAGTGACTGGTAACCATAGCCTTTGAAGAGGACACCTTCAAGTTATGTTTAACAGCTGCCATCACTACAAACTACCATGACACATTCAGGTCACCAGTTAAAAGAGTCAGCATACACTTTATGTGTTTAGTGTTACATGTGTGTGATGCCTACCTAAAGTTGTTGACTTTGTGGTCATTAGGCTGCCCTGGTCCTGGCCCTGCAGTGCTAATACTATACAGGCATCATTATATGCTCACATGCAAGAATACTTTTTGTGCACTGGTGTTTTTTTTTTTATCCATGCTGGTGCCCCCCTCATGCCATTTATTTTGTATACAGTTTTGGCCCCTGCCCCTCACACTGCCTGAGCCCGCTACTGCTTGGAACTAGCTCTTGGCTGCATGCTCAGTGGAATTTAGCTTGATACTAATTATCAGTATATCTAGAATATTAACGCATTGTTTTAAATGGTAGTCATTCTAACTGACCACGCCAGAAGTAACTTTGTATACATTTAGCTGGATCATAACATGTAACTCCTTAATATATCGAAGCAATTTTCAGACTCTTGCTAGGTCGACTTACTTGCGTGGTTCTTGACTGTGTGCAGCATCAGTGCTGGCAGTGTTGTGCTCTGTGTGGCTCCCTGTCAGAACTGATACCCGGAAGTTGTAGTTTGTCGCTGCACCAATCAGCTGAGAGGTTACTTGGACGCACTGCCACAATAATACAGGCAGCAGGACGGATCGCTGGAAATACAGTGTAGGATATTTATATTTTACGATAGACAGGTTTTATCAATCAACTCACAGACTTGTTATTGCGCTTCCAAGATAACAGACGCCGAGGTACGTATTTTCAAACGTCGCTTAGACGATGTGAAAGCACGGTACCGATAGCTTCTGTTAGCTACAGTTAGCAAGGTGTCAGATGCTAGCCGATTTAGCTAACGTATGTGATAACCCGGTAGCTAGGGGACACAGTTGTTTTGAAGAAGGTTTATGGGTGCCTGATACCAATCAGCTGTTAATTAATGTTGTATATTAGTTGTTAGTCAAGACAACCGGAAACGTCCGATGTGTTTATCCGTTAGCAACCTATCGTGGTTTAAATTCAAGCTAGCAAAAGGACTTTAAGTTAGCTCAGCTGATACAAAAACGACAACATCCACCAAGCTGGACAACACGTTGGACTTAGTCGGGTTTAAATCGGGCTCGGTGGGTTCACTGACGCCTCAGAAGAAGATGAAGAAGAGGAAGGAACTGAATGCCTTGATCGGGCTAGGGGACAGCAAGAGAAAGAAGACCAAAAAGGGGTCTGGTCACCGACTTCTGCGAACCGAGCCTCCGGACTCTGAGTCCGACTCCAGCTCAGACGACGATGAGTTCAACAACTTGAGCAGCGGGGCTAACTTTGGGAAGTGAGTGATCACTTTAATAAGGTTTTGTTGTAGTAAAGTACGAGTGTTGTATTAAACTGTCATCACTTTTCAGAAGAAGATTCAAGATTCAAAGGCTTTGTTGGCATATGCAAAGTAGCCACAGTGTATTTATGGCAATGCAAATCTAAAGTCCCAGGCTCCTCCAACAATGCAACATAAATATATATGAGACATAAAACATGTATATCTTTATTTCGAACAAAAAAAAAAAAAAGACAAAAAAATTAAATTAATTTAAGAAAAAACAGTGGCAAGAGGAATGTGCAATTAAAATGCAAAGTCTAAGTAAAGCATTTAAATATAATATTGGCAACATTGAACAACATTGGCATCATGAACAGCTAGCATGACTTTCCATTAACTATGTGGAATTCATTTTTGTAATGTTGTTAAAGTTGCCAACATATTGCAAACAGATCACATACCATAGAAATCACTATGGCACATAGTATTCCATTCTTCTTTACTAGGATATACAGGAGGATTGCATTAGATCTTAAATCCTTAACCAGACAAGAAGTACGTTTCCTCTGCCCTGGTGCACATGACCTATCGTGCACTCTGTGGAGAGAGACATATTTGAATATGGCCCAATCAATCCACTTGCTCTTCGTCTGTGCTCAGGTTAAAGCAAAGTATGACCCATCTTGCACACTGAGAATATATCAAGTTGTTTCCCCAGGCAGCTTGATATCATCAAAATTAGAAACAATCAATGCTACATTCAGCATGAAAATAATATAGAATGTAGCAACTCGTGTTTTAAAGCGACAGTTTTTACCAGTAATCCTCATAATTCCCATGACACAGCATGCAGCCTTCTTAAAATATCTCCTACATGAATAATGAAAGATGCTGTGCCGTTGTAATGTCTAACATTACCATGTGTCTTCTCTTGCAGAAGAAGCTACACGCAGTGCTGCAATGTGTGCTACCCCTTGTTTCTGTTCATCATACTTGCTGCCTGCGTTATGGCCTGTGCTGGACTCATATGGATGCAGATTGCTCTGAAGGAAGATCTAGACTCGCTGAAAGAAAAGCTGCATAGCAGTAAGACACAGTTACCTCGTGATGACGAGTCATAAAAAGCTCACTACCCTTTGAACAATAAAAACCTGTTATATGCCGGTTACATGTTCTTTTGTCCTTAACACGTAACACTTATTTTATTGTTTTTGTAACAGTGGAATCCAGCCAGAAAGTGTCATCAAGTGAAATACCAAAACTAAATGAGGACCTGAAAAACAAGGAGAGAAAGCTTGACGACATAGAAAGTGGAGACAAGGGGTTGGGCAAGCTCTGGTCCAACCTCACAGAAATTAACAGAAAGGTCAGTTTTATTTATTCGGTCAGAGGTTTTAAAGCCACCAGAGCTCATGACAAAGGGATAGCATCAAGACTTACCGTGTTTGTCATACGTCAGTTGCTGATCTTTTCTTAACATTCACTTTTTTACTTTGTGCTAGTCTTAGTTTTCTCTGAAAGTATTGACTAGATTGGTAATTCTATTTTAGAGATGTAACTTCATCTTTTTTGTAATTGTACTCCTGCAGATCAGTTTGCTGGACTCGGCTGTAAAACATTTAAAGGTCGACTTGAAATCAGCTGCTGACTTAGTCAGCCTTCCCACTACAGTTGAAGAGCTTCAAAAGGTAAAAGCAAAAATAATTTGATGGATGAAATCTCCTTGAGAATCTTTATCAACGGATATCCTATGTGTTGTACTGATTGACCTGGAAGTGTGTTTTTTGTTTTCCAGAGTGTTGCTACAATTGGCAGCACACTAACAAGTGTACAGCATGATGTGAAGACTATGCAGGCTGCTTTTGAGCAGCAGAAGAAAGATGAAGAGTTGAAGAAAGCAATGGTAAATTCAAGCTAATTTCAAATAGGTCCTTATTTAAACTTGGAGATTATTATGTAATCTCTTATTTTCTCTTGCCTTGCAAAGTTAATGTTACATACTTTAAAAGTCTCACACATTAAGTTTGTGGTAATTTAATCATCAGTTTTTTATCTCAGAATGGATCAACATATACAGTCTATGTACCGTTCAGTCAATGATGACTGTTGTTTGTGAAGAGATGTAGAACAATCATAGCCACTAGACTTTCTGTTCATTCTTCCAATTGTGCCATACATTCGTAAGATCTCTCTGCAGTGTGTTGGGCAGATGACAGACATCACAGAGGATTCTGAAGCTGTGCTCCTTTTGTAAATAGTAAATAGGGCTGCAAGCTCAAGTGTTTTGCACATGAGCAGTGCACATGTATTTTTCATGAGCCGAATTCAAAGATTTCACTTATTTTGTTTGACAGCCTGTCTTTTTTCATCACATCTCTACCCTCACTTCAATTATAGCTCACGGCTGCTGTTCTCATTTATTATTAATGCTCAAACGTATGGAGAGCAGTGTTTAGAAAACAAGTTAACAGTGCGTTGTGCTTAAGTGGATTAGTTCAGTAACTTGGCGTGCCTAATGTGATGCTGAGAAACGTTGCTTTTGTGCATATTCAGCTCACTCCATTTTGAGGCCAATCTTTCTTCATATGGCCAAAATGTTTCTGTTGATTACATTTCAGTTGATCTGCCCAACTGTGGCGCTTTTCCAGAAATTGAATCCGCGTTGAGCTTTGCCACTGTCAGATTAACGTGTAATGTTTATTTGTTTACTCACGCATGCAAAAATGTTTTTGCAATTTCTGTCGGGCTTACATTGACAGAGCAGCCGGCTTAGAAGGTCCTGTCATTTCTTGGATTCTCGCGTTGGGTTTCCATTCATAATTCATGAAACAAGTGCCGATCTATTTTGGGATCTTAGATGCTTTAGTTTGTTGAGGGAAACTAGGTCAAATATCTGAGACAACTGCAGAATGTTTTCTCCACTTTATTTTTCATAAGGAAAATAGGATGGGTTAAGAGGATCAGCAAATAATAATAATCCTAAACTACATCTTTTTCAACGATTTAGTCAGTGATGAATTGCTAGCTGACTGTGATGTCCATAGTCCATTTTGAATGGCCTGGATGTCTACAATTCACATAAACACATAGAAATGTCCGCTTCCACAAAACTGCATGTTGCTTTACATGTATATTTCTTGTCATAGGAAATAACAGACCTGAGAAAAGCAGTAGGTGAGGCGAACAAGACCGAGGAGCTGCGTCACACACAGACTGACGGGCAGATCCACATTCTCCTCTCTACGGTCGCAGAGCTTCAGCAGAGAGTGTTGTCGTTAGAGAACGGGTCAAAACAAAGCGTGAGTAATATGAAGCTTTTACGTTTATTTCTGCATTTAAAAGTATGCGTGTTGATCACTGACTTCAAAGGTAAAGGAGAACTCAATGCACTTTACATCTGCTTCACAGTCAAAGGTGAATGACGCAGCAGCCATCACCAGTGAAAGTCCAACAACAGAAGTTATTAAAGAAGCTACTACAACCAAAGCAACACCTGAGGACCTGCAAGGTACACTGTAGGATAGATCACTTTATTACAGGGTCTTTATTTTGCCCCTTGTTACCGGTTTAATACATTTTCTTCCCCTTTTCTTTACAGAGGTGTCCACCCCACTGACACAGCCTCATACAAGCAGACGCCCACGCTTTCTAACTCCAAACCGTGCTAAGAGAGAGGCTTTGAAACCATGCCCAAGGAGGGTGGTCCTGTATGGTATCCGCTCTCTGAAAGGTGCAAACTACTACTCCAATTTGATAGCTAAGCTTTTATTAAATAAAAAGTTTGTTAAATACACATATTTGCTTTCTTGCTGGGATCGAAATGAGTCCCACGTCATCCAGTAAACATAAGGCTATGATATATGAAGTCTCCTCTAGTTGCCTGGCAACCACACTGTGATAACAAGACTTTGTGTGCTCCAATTTAAGAAATGCTCTGCAAACCCCATTAAAAGTGAACTTGCAGTCCGTACATACAAGCAAAGGAGCTATAACAAAATCAAAGAACTGGCTCTTCAAATGTTCATTTATTTATTCTAGTAACAAACATCACACAACTTAAAGTGGACCTATCATGCTATATTTGAATAATATAGTGTAGGACCATACCTATATAAGGCATATTTATACTTTTTATTTTTCAAAATACCAAACAGATCATGCATTTTAGCCATTCCTCATTTCGCTCAATTTAACACTGTCTTTTCATGGGCTGATTCTGTGAGAACAGCACCATCTACAGGCCTGGCATATGTACTACAGCGTCTCCAGCGCTTTCGAACGGGCAATGTCCGTGGCTGTCTCCTCCTGATTGGTGGAGTTGGCCCAATAGCCGTAGCACCACTTCTGTGACGTCATAGAAGTGTTCAAATCTGGATCAGTCTGTATCAGATCCGTTGCAGCCCCTTTTTAAGAGATTTGGGTATGGAGGAAAAGAGAGAGGGTTGTGTTTTCTGACACTTGGTGAGTTCCCTGGAACACCGGGGACACATATTCATGTAGAAAAGACGTACAAAAGTGCATTTTGCATGATAGGTCACCTTTAATCATAAATGTATATTTTGTTGGGTTTCTACTCAGTGTGCCGTGTGCAATTGTTTGTCTTTTTTTCTACTCTGTGTTTATTTGCATATCACAATGCAACTTCAAAGGTGCTTATCGCATCTTGCTAAACTGTGTGTACTGCTCTAGTTGGGTTAATATAGGCAATTTGGCCTTTCATTATTGGCTAATAATTGATTGCCTATAATTGCATTATCGGATCAATACATAGTAGTATACATTTCCCAACAATACATCATGCATCCCTACATTTCCCCCTCATTTTCTGTCTTGATGCGTATTTAACAGACAGACAGACATGATATGAGTAAAATGAATCTCTGCAAGAAAGGCTACAACATTGTACTATGAATATTTTCAGTTTTGCAAAGTGCCATTTCAAGAGTGCAGAGCTCTCTTTTTGATTATTATGTTATATTATTCTTTTCCCAGAGTTGGAGGACTTCTACCAGCAGGAAGGCGTCGGGCGTGATTCGCCCGGATTGACCTACCACAGCCTGAGGGAAATAATTGGAACATCTACTACTACTCGTACCATGGAGTGTTTTGACAATGACGGAGACAAGAGGTACTCCCTGATGGAGCTTAGAGCTGCTGTAGGTTGGTGAGCACATCATCACTGACAGTAGTGAACAGTATTGAATACCCAGCGGGGTCTGGTAGTTTGAAGTTCCTGACCCTTTTCTGTAATTGCTGCACTTTTGTGAACTGTATATTTATCATTCTGATTGTGGAACACAATTCTCACACATCCTGGTTTGTCTCATCACAATCTAATTCATGAACAATACTCTTACATTTTTAAATGAACGACCTGTATACAGTATACTCAGCTTCGATTTTAGAAGATTTCTTGGATTACATAAAAACGGGGGAAGTGTTTAGAATGATTTTGAATCCTGTTTTCCACCCTTAATTCTCAGACTTCCGGTTTTCAGTTTTAATTTTATTGTCAGTCTGTTCCATCCCGATGTAACTTTTTTGTGTATTTAGCTTTCCTGGAGGCTATAATGGTCAGCCTATTACCCCACCCATCAAAACCAACACCTGGTAGAACTCACCTGAACCTGGTCCTAATTTAACTGAAACACACAGTTGAGCATAAGAGAATGAATTATCTACGCTCTTTCCTAAACTAATAACCATTTCTGCTTAGTGTTTTTTCCTCATCTATTTTCAGTTAGTTACTTCAATTTAATTGTATTTAGTCCATCTGTACAATTGTTTTTTTTTTGTAGCTTTTAGTTTAACAAGTTTGAAGGGCTATGAACACTTTCATAAAGGGTTTTGAAGTAGTTACTCGTGAGGCATATGTAGCAATAACAAACTGACATAGATATTGCTTGTTCAAATTTGCAGTAGACAGCTAGCTCACAATATTTTGCAGGTAGTATAAGAAGCACTGACCATCACTCTTTACTTGATTCATTTTATTCAATTTTTATGGGCCTAATAATGGTGTATTTACATTACAAATGGGTCATACTTAAACATTGTTGTACTCTGTCAAGATGGTTTAAATGTATTCTCACAAATCATGTTGTGAGGGGGTTGGTAACATTTTCTTTACAGTCTTAATCTCAACATTGTACATTCTTTTTTAAATAATTATCTTGTGCTTTGCATGTTGCTTATATTGTAACATGAACACATTATTTATAAACTTAACATAGTCGATTTCTTGTTTTTGCAGGACAATGTAACAGCTTTGACCATAATGACATACTGTACATGTTGGGTTCATGCTGCTGCTGCTGTAAATGGGGAGATTTTATGAATGTGTTTTTGTGTGAGCACCAATGAATAAACACAATGTTAAAAAGTTTGATTTCCATTTGGTTCCTTTTAGTGATGAAATGACAGAATTTTTCTACAAACGAATGTTTCACATCACAGCATCACATTTATTTCAGTTTGAAATATACAAAAAGGAGGTGACACTGTTTTATCAAACATATTTACAATTGTTGGATTACTGACAGACTTACACACATGGCTTTTTTCTCAATGTTATCACTTAAGCCAGTGCCCCTTTAGCCCTCCAGTCCCCGGACAGAAGCCCCATCAGCACCTCTTCATCCTCTTCTTCCTCGTCGCTGGCATCGACCTCCATACTTTCATCCTTTTGTGGCTGATTCCTTTTCACCACATCTCGCTTATCTCTTAGTAATTCAACCCTCCTGTAACACTCCATCTGTTCATCAATTTCGTCAATCTGCCTTTCCAGGCGACCCTCCTCGTCGTCCTCCGCCACGATGGCTTCAGATTTTGTGTTCACCTGTCGGATCTCCTTTTGAAACTCATCCCATTCCTTGTCCATCTGATCTTTGGGTGCGTCAACATTACGCACTTTAGCATCTCTCACAGGGTCGTCGAAGAAGCCCTCTGGCAGTGCTTCGGCTGAGTTGTCCTTCTTCTCTGTGCTCTTCTCCTGCCCGTCTGCTTTGAGGATGGATCCTGAGTGAGAGACGGCAGGTGTGGATGGGATGGAGCTGTCAAAGAAATCGTCAGGTAGTCCCACAGATACTTCCTTTTGGGGAGCGGGAGTTGATGAAGTTCCTGCCTCTCCAGCATCTTCTTCCATCTCATCTTCATCATAAACTCCAGCCAACAGACTCAGTCCTGCAGATTTTTGCGTAGAAACCGGTGCGTGGGGTTTCTTAAAGACATCATCCGATAGCACTGAAGATGAAGGTTTCGCTTTTTTCCCGCTGTCGTCCTCGGTGTCCGGTGCTTTTCTCTTCACCGGTTGTATCTGTGGTGTCGCTGGTTGACTTTTCCCTGACTTAAGCTCGGCAACTTTCTCTTTGTGTGGTTTTCCAAGAACATGCGCAGGCCACAGTAGCTCGGACTTCACCTGCACATTGCACAGTAAACAACTGAGGTGCCCGAGACTGTTGTACTTAGCAAAAGGAGACTCCACGCGCTTCTTGTCCGTTGTTTGCCTCTGTTTTACCCTCATTAAGCGTCGCAGTTCCTCCTGATTTATCACTTTCTTCCCCTTCTTTGAGGACGCCATTCTTCAAAACAACGTCGCTTGTTAGCTAGAGATAGCTAGCTTCTTGCTTTTGCGGGGAATGCGTCTCGTTAAGATGACGTCAACGGGATGAACTCTCGTCAAACTGTGTGTTTTAGAAAAATCTCGCGATATTTTCCACTCGCAGTAAGCTAGCAGGGATGTTAGCTCAGCTGGTTTATTGTACCATCCAGTCCGCCTGAATTTCGCCGCAAAGCGACCTGAATCGATACCATTTGACAACCTATATCCACGCAGGGGTAGAGACAATGATGTAGTCGTTTGGTATTCGTTGTAATCCTTAGCTGTATGTTGATTTAGTGCGTGTGTGTTGTGTTGTGTTATGTTAGACATTATTTTGTGTTTTCATCGCCGCACCCACCATATTTATTTTTTATTGTGGGCTAGCTAGCGAACTGGAAGCTAACACTGGCTCTGGAGCAGCAGGTGTAACATTATTTGAATAACAGAGAGCGACCAACCATCTACTTGAAAAGCATCGCTGTTTGCTAAATTTGTTTACAAGATCATTTGACATCATATTTGATTCAGATTGATGCCACATTTTGACCAGATTAAGCCCATTAACGTTAATTTGTTAGCCGGTTAACGCGCGGTAGTCATCATGACAGGGGAGAAGATACGCACCATGCGAAAGGACCACAACAAACCCAACAAAAATGAGGAGATACACGACACGTACGATGAGACCTCAACCGGGACTATCCCTAACGGTACCGGTAACCATTTAAAATCCAACAAGGCTTTTCAGAAATCAGAGAAAACCTCGGCACTGCAACAGCAGCTCAATGAAAACAACATTAATGGAAATCCATCACCAATTGGCACCATTGTCAATGATAACAACAAGAACCCAATAATCCTGAGCACTGAGGACTTGGACTTCCCCGTTCATGAGTGTGTGTTCAAAGGTGATGTGAGGAGGCTCTCCTCTCTCATCAGGACCCACAGCATCTCTCAGAAAGATGTACATGGTGAGCTATGTTCTGTCTTTTTGAGTATTTTGTTGAGTAGTATGTTTATTTGTATATGTACTCAGGAGATCATTTTACGTGCTTCTCTTTCAGGGAACACACCTCTTCACCTGGCTGTGATGATGGGCCACAAAGGTAAAAGTGATAGAAAAATGTAATGTGTAAACTAGATGTTTAATCCTACCAGGCTATTGTCACACAGGATTAACAAAAATGAGCCAAATAAAGCTTCTTAGATGGTAATCCACTGTGCTCCAAGGCCTAATAATGTGACATTGTTATTATTATCTGTATTAAAGGGCTTTTGACATCCTCATCAAAGTCCCTTTTTAAAAGCACACCAGTTTTAATTTTATTTTTCAGAGTAACCTCCATGCTCCTGTATTCATCATGTCTTACGGACTTTTGCAGTATAAGGATAGCATGTAGCTGTAAGTTTAACATAGTTGTTATCTTAAGGAAAACACATCACTGATTACATCCAATACAGCTGATTTAGGATGGAAAAAGTATACTTTGTTATGCATTGCAGCATAATCATGTAAAGTATTATTTATACAGCCCTAAATAACAAATAAGTCCCTTCCAATCTGTACAATAAACAACACCCTCTGACCCAGCTGCGGCGTTATGGGTGGGCCTACTCGGCCTAGGCCCACCCACTCTGGCACTGGGCCCACCCATTCATTGATCAAAAATGAATGGGCGAAAATATAGTTTCCAACATTTTTGATCAAAATGAACAATTAAATAATAAAATAGCAAACATGTGTTTCCCTTTAAAAAATAAATTAAATTAAAAGCAACATTAATTAACGTAATCAGGCCGAACTCATAGTCGAAGCGCGGGAGCAAACACATCGTAGAACGTCTTGCGGTCGCACGCAGACGAAGGAGGACAGTGGACTGGACAGACACAAAAAAATATACCGCGCTCACCAACGATGTCACAACAATCGATGTTCAGTTTTTTTTTAAAGAGTAAGAACAGAGTCGCCGCCGCCGGAACCACCACACTCATCATCCTCACAGCAGGTGCCGCCTCAGAGAGACGAGAGTGTGTTTAATGTTGTGCCCGCTTCGCTGCCCACTGGTATGACAAGTACACATTCTTGGAGTATAGCATTAGCAAGGACAGTGTGTTTTGTAAAATGTGCAGGCATTTTGGAGAGAGAGGCAGGGCCGGCGGAGAAGATACATTCAGTCGCCATGGTTACAGGGACTGGAGACACATCGACTATGCTCTCAGTAAGCACCAATGTCATTCTAAGCATAGCCTATTTTTATTAGATTATTAACAAAAATCGTGAGAAAACATTTGAACAGGCCCAGCCGAAATTACATTGGCCCACCCACAATTGAAATCCTGGCCCCGCGGCTGCTCTGACCTTAGAAACATCTTGATAATCAAAGGCAGAAAGGGGAAAAGAGAACTTTGTCTAAATATTGTTTTGTGTGTTCTTTCAGAATGTGCCCTCCTCCTCCTGGCCCATAACGCTCCTGTAAAGTTAAAGAATGCACAGGGATGGAGCCCTCTAGCAGAAGCCATCAGCTACGGCGACAGGCAGATGAGTGAGTTTCTGTCAACACGGCTCTGAACCGCTGTCTGCTTTCCTGGGGTTTTCATATTTGGATGTGTTTATGGTTTCAATTTCATACCTGCAATAATATACTTATAACAGTGGGTTCGGTGATGCATGTCTGACGGGCCGATATAGTTACGAAGGCTTCATGGTGTCAGCTTCAGTCTCAATTTGAAGCATAGTCAGTCATTCTGACATCTGGAACTGCTTTCTGTTTGAATGCTTACATGGTATCAGCTTTGATAAATGTCAGCCCTGTGGTCGTGCTGTGTTCAGGAAGTATCTCAGATAACTCTGTACAGTGTTTCTGCTGTAACCTGAGGGATACAATCAGTTGTACATCTCAGGATAGCTTAGAAGAAAAAGACAAAGATGTTTGCTTTCAAGAGAAAGCCATCGTTTTACTTACTACTTTCTTCCATATGATGTTACTAATGTGAGCATCAACTTTTTTCATCTTGTGTTTTGCAAATTGTTGAAAAGGGCAAACGGGGCTTAAGGTTGACAGCTTATGTGTGAACGTTTTGTGAGTGATTTAAGTGTTTAAAGATAGCTATCAGGTTGTCCCAGTTTAAAAGATAAAAGAGGGGATTTTCTCTTAGCACTCATCATCCAGATGTGCTGGAACGCAGCCTGGACTCTGGCTTAGTGTGAGCGCACACTCCCCCCCCCCGGCCTAATGATGATGCTGCTGCTTTTAGACCTGACATCCAGAGCAAAAGAGTCAAATGACACGTGACAGGCACCAACTAATGCCTCTGGGACGAATTCACAGTTTTTTCCTTTTTTTTTTAGGTTGTGGAATTATCTTTGTGTACATAAAGATTAGACTAAGATAAAAGGCAGGCTAAGTTTCTCCTAAAAAGACTGTGTACCAAATCACAGATTTTATGAGAGAGCCACATTTATATCACTGCTAGTTGCCTTGATAATCTAACTGGAATATCTGCATACCTTTCCTAGTTTGTGATGAAGGTTGTGAGGTCGAGCGGTTGGAGGAATGACCCTCAACCTTGTTAGTATGCGTGGCAGGCTGGGCTGGGACTGGGACCAGGAATGGCGCTTTGAGAAGGTCACGCCACTCACAGGGGTGAAGGGGAGGCCGAGAGGGGGCTGGGGAAAGTCACACACATTAGCACGAATATGCAAATACAGGCATAGTGGAGGGTGTTTTATTCAGATCTCTGGTTAAATAATACGCAGCACCAAACTATCTTTCTCTGAGTGAAAAGGACAAATGGAGAATAACGTGTGCTTGAAATCAAATGTGTTGGGTACAGCTTTTTCACAAAACACTGCAGTCTCGTCATCACCTTTCGCTTTTACACATGTGCACATAGCGTCAGCAGCTATGCAATGACGAGCTGCAGCCAGCGCCTCGTCAGCACTTCTCTCCTCGGGCACGTCCAATGTTTCCCTGCTGGTGGAGATACCCAGGGTGCCTCTGAGAAAATGTTGATTTGTTGGGGGTCCACGTGGTGTTGCTTGTTGTGCCTGAGAGAAAGAGCTGCATCAGTTGGATCAGCTCATCTAATCAGTGCTGCTGCTGCTGCTGTAAAAATGGGTCTTGGGTTTCTTCTGGGGCAATGATATGAATATTTCAGTCATACTGTTGTTGTTAATACACAGTTGACTTTGTTTAGTTATATCTAGAGGTCATGTCAATGTGTATTTATGAGGCATCATCTTTCAGGTGTACATGTGTTACAGTTTTCCTGTCTTATCCTTGTTTCTTCAGTCACAGCAATACTGAGGAAATTAAAGCAGCAATCCAGGGAGAGCGTGGAGGATAAGAGGCCCAAACTACTGAAAGCTCTGAAGGAGGTTTGCCACTTCTTTTATTCATTGGCTTTTCAAAATCACTGCAGGCTTTGCAATAATGACTTTTGCCTGTCCTTGAGCATGCTTATTAACTGCTGAAATGCACAATGTGGAATATTCACTGTGCTGTGCTACTTTTTATGACCTGTGACATAGTTGTGTTGTTTCTGCAGCTTGGTGACTTTTATCTGGAGCTGCATTGGGACTTTCAGAGCTGGGGTGAGTTTCATATTTCACACAGAGAAAAGTTCAGATACCGTTTTCTCAAACATTGATAAGACCGGCCTTGACTTGAAATCACTTTGCTGCATTCTTAGAATTGGGCTGAATTGGTCAGTTGTTGCCTTACTGAATGCTTTTTTTTTTTTTTTTTAAGATGACTGTTGTTTCTTAGGCTTTCAATAAAGTACTTGTTGTTGTTATTCACACTATCGTTTATATTTCAGTGCCGTTGTTGTCCCGGATGCTGCCATCTGATGCTTGTAAAATCTACAAGCAGGGCCTTAACATCAGGTAAAACAGTTTGAAAGAATCTCATTCACTGTGTGTTTAAAGCTGCGAATAGTTGATATCCAGGTCGAGGACTTCTTTTAGATTTTAAAAAGTAGGACGGAACACTCTTCACACACTCTCTCCTCTCTTGATTTAGACTTGACACCACTCTCATAGACTTCACTGATATGAAGTGTCAGCGCGGAGATCTCAGCTTCATTTTCAACGGCGAGGCCGAACCCTCCCAGTCTTTTGTGGTTCTGGACAATGAAGCAAAAGTGTACCAAAGAATACACCACGAGGTGAGGGAGTGGTACAACCAGACCTGTGGCATCAGCTGTTTTGATATGAACAGCAACGCCTAACTGTCATTGTTTGTTCCAACAAGGAGTCAGAGATGGAGACCGAGGAGGAGGTGGATATTCTGATGGGCAGCGACGTCTACTCTGCCACTCTGTCCACTAAGTCCATCAGTTTCTCTCGCAGTCAGATCGGCTGGCTGTTCAGAGAGGATAAAACAGTAAGCTTTATGGGACAACCCATTAGTAAAGCTCATTACACATCCAACAACATAAAAGAACCATGTAAAACATGTTTACAGTAGCTTTTTTTTAAACACAGTTCACAAAGCCATGGCATGGTTGAACTTTATAAACTAAAGGCACATTAGATTGTGATTAAATATGAAAACATTGCATGTAGGCAGGTCGTTGAGGGTTGTTTTGAGCTTGAATTCTATTCAAATTGCCATGGTCTGCTAATCCTCCCAAACATATAATGTGAATGCGGCCTGGTTGTTTAGATCAATGGTTATACTGTACGGAAACTCAAAAAGGAACATTGTGTACTTTAACACTGTCACCATATTTTGCTAATAATAAGATGAGAGTAGTTTGGCCTTTCCCTAAAGCACTGAATGAGAGGGATCAGAGAAGGGATACAAACAATTGTTTTCTTTCCTGTTGATAATCTCACAGCCCTCAGGTTCATGTCAGTTTATTCAAACATCCATCATTTCTCTCCGTACAGAGTTCGCAGCACCGTCAGTCATTTTTGGTGTTTGAAATGTTTTGTTGCACTATGAATCTAAAAGAGCTGTGGTTACCTAATTGCTATCTTCCGCCTTTCGAAACGTGTCTTGCTTCAGGGATGAGAGGAAAGGGGAATTTAAATATGTTGTCTCCTGATAGTTAGTGCAGTCTCACCCTCGGGCTGCACTTTGGCACATTTTAAGAATCCAGCCGTAGTGTTGGGTAATTTACAGGATAATACAGCGACACCTTTTCTGTGCAGGAGAGGGTGGGGAACTTCCTGGCTGACTTCTACACGGTGAACGGGCTGGTGCTCGAGTCACGGAAACGGCGGGAACACCTTAGTGAGGAGGACATCTTGAGGAACAAAGCGATCATGGAGAGCTTGAGTAAAGGAGGCAGCCTCAGCGAACAAAACTTTGAGGTGAGAGGAAAAAGAATGTCCTAACTTGATCTACCAATGGTTGAAGGTAATGGTGCCCTGATGACTGATTCTTGTCCTGTCCCCAGCCGGTGAGACGGCTGTCCCTCACAGCTCCCGCTCCCAACACACTGTCCTGGGAGGAGTACATCACTTCAGAGCAGGGGAAGTAAGTACTGTAGCTGTAATTCGTAATGCCACAGGGAAGGGAGCATTTTCTCCCCGGTAATAAACTTGTGAAGTGATACGGACTACACCAATTTACAAGAGAATATTTTTGTAGATGAAAGCCAATATCTGCTCTTTAAAGGTCACCTATTATGCAAAATCCACTTTTTCATGTATGCTATACATCAAAATGTGTCCCCTCTGTGTAAAGAGATTCTGAACGTTTCAGGAAAACTCTCTCTTTTTGTCCTGATCCATTTATACAAAAACCTGTCTGAAAATGAGCTGATCAGATTTTGGCCACTTTATGATGTCATAACTATTTTTTGGCTTGTGTAACCATTAGCCAATCAC